CCACCATTACTTCAACAACACCCGTAGATCCTCGAAATCCTTGATTCTTGAACAAATATAGATCTCAATTTAATAACTCAGATGACAGCATTCCAAGACGCATTAATAATATTATGAATAATGGAGGACCATCTCATTATTGAGAAGTAGTAAAATTCTTTCTTTTGTCATAAAATCTCTCGACAAGTGATGTGTAGTCATATTTGCGAAACGGTGAAAATACGTTCTAAGAAAATATTTTAATATTCTTGATCAAAATTTCTCCAGAAAATCACTACCTTATGAGAAATCCAAAGCGGGCACCGTATTTTCAAAATCCACGGAAATTTCGGGATACCAGAAATTTAGGTGTAATACCTGTATTATGAAGGTCATTAGAGAGAAAGAATGAGATATCGCTATTTAGTAGATGATCAACTGCGATATTGTTTGGGAGGGAATATGTATAGAAATTGGAACTACTCAACTCATGATCCTAGTGACAGCTGCCATAACTTACATTTTCTCTTGTCAAGCAAGAACTCACAAGCACGACTACTGGTAACACAGCAGCGGTGATGAGACCAATTGGTAGCCTTCCAGTTGATATTCCAATGGGTTGCATCATTCGATATCGGTAATACATTGTGTGGATGATCAATACTTCTACGTACAGAGATAGGGCGGCGAGAATATTATGAGCAGCAAAGCATGTCGAGGGGCCGAATGAACGGCACGGACCTATTGGAAGAAACGCTGTTACTGAAGTACTACCAAGCAACCTGCAATATTTTCATTAGTTGACTCATCACGTCATTTATTCTAAGAAAATAAGCCGCTAAACTCGGTGTGTCAGTTGGTATGTATTAGGCGTTTCAGAAAGTTCTGTCGTTTTCCACCCCTAATTTTAAATGCACGTATCTCGGCTTAAACTAACCTTTCGAGTTGATTAAAAAACCATTTGAAAGCGCGAATCTCTATAAGAAGCCGTTCAACTGGGTACGTTTGTTTGGAATGCTGGACCTCTGGAGGCGATGAACTGAGGGAAGGTCGTTTTAGCATCATGTTGGGTTTTGATGTATTTCTCTTCAAGGAAGCTATCGAGATCGTCAGAAATGTTGACAGTAGATAGTTCAAAGGTCTACTAAGTAAGATGTTCGCAGAACCACTCTGAAGTTCAGCTGGTACAACTTGTGAAGGGTTGGCCGTGCGATGTGCGTTCAAGACACCTTTCAGGGATGTGTCCGTTCCTTTATAATGAGGAATGCTGGACACCATGTCTTGGAGTTTTTGGTGAATTTTGACGTAATGTAAGACTGCTTTTCCACTGTAACAGTTCCACCTGATACGGAAGAACATGGCCAGCCGCTGACCTTATGAAAGTTGCCATAACCCTCCTTCAGCACAGTTTAAGTTTTGCAAGTTTGTAGAGCTTGATCGCCGTCGATCTATTCAGCAAAGCTTCGTGGACTGTAGAGAAGAATCCGCTCTTTATTGTACGTCGCAAATCTGTAGAAAAACGAGTCGCTTTATCACATAAAACAAGCTACAATTTGATGGACGACCCTTCAAATTGGTGATTTGTCGCGGCACGCCCCTATCAAATTTTTTGGACTTTCCAGCTACTTCCGTATAGCTTGGCTACAAACCATATACGCCCAGGTTGGGCAGAACCTCCTCTATGGTCTTACGCACGAGTGCCTCAATCAGAACTTTTGGCTAATCGGTGACAACGTCCGATATCCGACCACCACTCTCATCATACCAAGGCTCTCGCTTTCGTTACAATAACTTTTTGAACTACTGCTTCTGAGCACATTTATTGCGAATCTAGGCCAAGTGCATCGTTAATATCTTGAACTGTTCCCGCTACTTTCAGGTCTATTTAAAGCTAGAAAAAAAGTCATGCCAACTTGCTCATCGAGTATACCGCATTCAAAGCTTTGAAAAAGCTATAAGAAAATGTTTTAGGACAAAGCTGAGCTAAGCATTGGATAGAGCAGGAAAAGCTCTTCAAAATGATATCAACACCGATTGCAGTTTTCCTGGATTTCAAGGGAAATAAAGCATCCAAAAGTGGAGTGTCAGAAAACGACAGAACTTTCGAAACGCCTAATATTAGGTTGTCCCATAATTAGTGAATCACTTTGGGTATTTTTGAATTCAAATTTTTTTCTTTTTTATGTGGAGTCTTTGCTCATCCAAACATACACCTCTGTCATCTACAATGTATTGCCTATACAAGGAAATTTAGTGCTGTCTATAGCTTCTCTCTTCTTCTTGTAACCTCGGCATCGTTCTTCTTATTTGTGTTAGTTTCTTGTGCCGTACGAGGTTTTAGGTGGAACATTTATTAGTTCGGCCTAACGTTTCGACAAAATCGTCGTCTTCTGAGGCCTAAATGCGGTTCAAGGTTTAGACTTACGTTCTAATCCACCAAGCGCCTTATCCACTCTAGCGGTTCCGACATTCTGTCAGAACCTCCACCGAGAAACACAAGAAAAATAATTTTGACTCACCCAAGGGTTCCACCGTTCGCGCGGGAATCCCGCTACCACATATAGACGCTACTCAGTAAAAAATAATGCACACTGCACTGTCTCTTGATTTCAGTGTTCATTGCAGGACGCACGTACGCTTTATTCTATAGCTCATCAAGTGATCTTTCGCCGTATATACCGCACTGCGAGCTATAGAATAAAGCGTACGTGCGTCCTGCAATGAACACTGAAATCAAGAGACAGTGCGGTGTGCATTATTTTTTACTGAGTAGCGTCTATATGTGGTAGCGGGATTCCCGCGCGAACGGTGGAACCCTTGGGTGAGTCAAAATTATTTTTCTTGTGTTTCTCGGTGGAGGTTCTGACAGAATGTCGGAACCGCTAGAGTGGATAAGGCGCTTGGTGGATTAGAACGTAAGTCTAAACCTTGAACCGCATTTAGGCCTCAGAAGACGACGATTTTGTCGAAACGTTAGGCCGAACTAATAAATGTTCCACCTAAAAACCTCGTACGGCACAAGAAACTAACACAAATTACGGGGGAATCCGCTCTTTATTGTACGCCCCAGAATTGGGCAAAACCTCGTACTGTGGTCTTACGCACGAGCGCCTCAATCAGAACTTTTGGTTAGTCGGTGACAACGTCCGATATCTGACGACCACTATTATCATATCCCAAGGCTCTCGCTTTCGTTACAGACAACTTTTTGATTTACTGCTTCTGAGCACATATACTGCGAATCTAGGCCAAGTGCATCGTTATCTTCCCAGGCTATATTTAAAGCTAGAAAGCAAAGCCATCCCAACATTGCCCATCGAGTATAACGCATTTCAAGGCTCGAAAAAGCTACAAGAATATGTATTAGGACAAAGCTGAGCTAGGCTTTAGGTAGAGCAGGAAAGGGAAAAGCTCCTCAAATGATATCCATACCGATTGCAGTTTTCCTGGATTACAAGTAGAATTAAGCATCCAAAAGTGGAGTGTCAGGAAACGACAGAATTTTTCGAAACGCTTAATATTAGGTTGTCCCATAATTAGTGAATCACTTTGGGTATTTTTGAATTCAAATTTTTTTCTTTTTTATGTGGAGTCTTTGCTCATCCAAACATACATCTCTGTCATCTACAATGTATTGCCTATAACAAGGAAATTTAGTTGCTGTCTTATCTCTAGAATTCCAGGAGCTATTGATCGAAGAAAGATCGGAAGTTGAATTTGTAGTCATATCACTTAGTGTAAGATTTGTTCCTGAGGAAGAGCGCTAGAGGTAAGACTCGTTGTCTCTCGTTGGCGCGAACATAGGGCCACACAGAGGAAGTGAAAGAACTGCTAGCCTGAGAGCCTCCAATTTTCTCAGTATGATATATTTTCCACAACGTGGAGTCGTACGCCCTCGGGAAAAAAGCATACTTTTTCTTGCTTTTACTTTCAATTGAATGCGCCGCCATTACGCTGTAGATGTTGATCTTCTTCAGTGACTCTAGTATTACTAGGCGGCGGTTCCCAGCGCATGGTCACTCTCGTGCTCCACCAATATCTCTGAAGGGTCGGACTAGAATGAGGTTTGGCTTTTGCTATCAGAACTCCCGAATCCCTCAATGCTGGACTACTGCTTTTTGGAGATCTACGGTAGACACTTCACCAGTAATGACGATGTCAGAATAGTTGTGCTGGGGGAGCTGTTTCGGCTCAGGCATACAAGATACAAACTAAATATTTTAAAATCTTTACAACTCTACGTAGATGTCTACATTCCATCATTTTAACAAGTCGGACATGCTCTAGCAAATGGCGACTAGTTTGTCCAGATCCACCCTCAGTGGCGCTGGGTACAGCAGTGAGATTGCCAGTTGAGGGGTAGTTGGAGTGTGGGTCATCTTCAACTAAAAAAGCCAACCTCTCGATAGAGTGAACTATAAGCAGACGTGGATTGAGGGAGCGTGCCCTCGCCTATCTGCTGGTTGATTCTCTATGTCTCTATTCTGTTGGGAATTTAAAAGATCCTAATCAGAAGTGATTAAGAAGGGAGCTCAAAAAATGTTCCAGAAAAACAACAGCACGGAAGGCAGCGCGCGAATGGGCTGAGTAATAGTTCAGGTTAGGATAATGTGAATGCTACTTCGCAAAACATGTTCACGCCTTCACCATTTTTCTTGGATTTTTAATAACAAGAAATGTAAAGTGGTTCACTAATTATGGGACAACCTAATATATTTGTCGATCGGACTGGCTATCCGTCCATCAGCAAGGTGAGGCGCTATGGCTAACGGAATAAACGAACCCCTAACATGGTCAGAGCCCACAGGTCTACCGTGTTGAGGTACCATCCCAGGGTGACATCGATTGTGTAACATACTCCAACTGTTGTAGGAACATCCAACCTTACCTCCATGGCACGGGAGAGGGAGGCGAAGGGGGTGGGGTGGATAGAGAAACTGATCGCCTACACACCGATGCCAAACCAGTGTTCAATCTTAGCATGACGATGCGAATACGGTAGGACCTTTTACTGCAGAAGTGACCTTTATTGGCATACGCATCCACTCCACGAAGTTGTGACCTCAAATTGGGGATGAGCGCTGTGGGAGGAGTAAAGTTCACGCAGCGGAAGAGAGCTCCTAGCGGTTGCGTGGGAGGAAAACGTGTACATCATATTTGAGACACACTGACCTTCCCTGTGATACCATTGCCATGATTGCTATCACAATCTGGATAGAAGCGGTGTACATAAGTAGAAGTTTGAATCGCCAAAGAGTGAGCGGACTTCTGAAAAGTGTGATTGAAATGTTTTATGCTTTTTAAGTAATTGCCCTGCATAGTGATGCTTTCGGAAAGGCCTTTGAGGGATTGTGACACATGAATTGATAGAGCATCAATTTTTTTTATTTTATTATTAGCTTTGCCTATCTCGCAAAATCATAGTTCCGCCACATGTTTCTCCGCTGCATTTTGCTTTACCCAATCAAATTTTGAAATTATTACCCATTCAAGTCTTTATTTTAAAAGCAAAACCGCTGTCAGACTTCCGTAAAAGCAAAATCCTAGCAAAAGAGGCGCTGGGGTTGTCTTAGTGCCAGTTCACGCTGTTCACGCTGGAATTTCAGCGGGGCCGCTTCGACACGGATAATTCACAAGAGATCTGCAGGATGATTCCATGTATACATATGTAAAGGGCTGTGTCCGTGTGTGTGTCTGTGTGTCACGAAATTCATAGCACGCTTCGCAGCAGTCGTAAGATTTTTTGATATGATATAGGGGGTGGGACGGGAACATATTTGGTGGGGTCAGAAAGTGATAACGACTGATAAGAGCTGATAAGAGGCGCTGAACGCGAATTTCACGAAATTCATAGGTGTCCCAGCAGCAGTGGGGTTCCATAAAGTGATGTGCAGGGTGGGACGGGAACATGTTTGGTGGGGGAGAGAAAGTGATAACGGCTGATAAGATCCGATAAGAGGCGCTAGAACGCAAGTCACGAAATTCATAGCGCGCGTCCCAGCAGCATTGAGGCGTTGGTTCCAGATATGATATAGGGGGTGGGACGGGAACATATTTGGTGGGGGACAGAAAGTGATAACAGCTGATAAGATCCGATAAGAGGCGTTAGAATGCAACGTCACGAAATCCATAGTGCGCGCCCAGCAGCATTGAGGCGCTGTCCCTGAAAACGGATGTAGATAGTAGGGACGGAAGCATGTATGTGGGGGGGGGGGGGTGGGTGACAGAGTGATGCTGATAAGGGATGATGTGGAACGAGCAGTTCGGAGGACGGGAGAGTAACTAAAGTTGTTATCGCGATGAGAATGCATTCCGTTTTAGTCGCCATTATCGGAATTTTTTCGAACGGTCATAAGTAAAAAGGCAAACCTTGCCACATTCACAATATTGGTCGCTTCATCGAAAGCATGAACACGTTTGTTTCCTGCTAAACTACGCCACAAGAACCAACTTTTCAACTTCTGCTAACTCTCCGCATTCGAACTATGGTTGTTTCCCAATGAGCTGAGAGTAAGCAGTACATATTTTAGTAATCCATGCTTATTCTGCCGCCAAACTAATCAATTCCAAAAAATAATGATTTCATCGAATATTACGACGAGCAGGAAATGGCTGCTTTATCGCCAGCGCTATAGAAACATTCCACAAAGTTCAGTTCATCAAAACAGCGACCGTCAGGAAATTTCGAAGAAGGTTCAGTGAAGCTCCATATGGGAAGTTTCTGTCTCATCATTTGTGTTTAGCAAATCAGACCCCAACCGAATACCGCGCTTCTGTTGCTTGGCAGATCAAAACTAGAACCGAGGGAAGCACATGTTCCGGAACAATACTCGAAAACGGAACTCACTGTGGTTTTTCTCCGAAGCGGCGCAGCATCTTTCTAGACAAACCAGCGGACATCCCACGATTACCCTGCGGAAAGGCAACATGTAAGACTATGGGGGGCGCCATATCTTATCAAATTCTCATTGCGCTAAACGAATAAAAATAATTTAAAATAAACGGAGAAAAAAAACAAATGGCCGAAGACTTTTCCCACAACCTAATAACATAGACGCGCACTGTGTAATGCGCTATGTCTGTCTGTGTGTCGCGGTGTCTGTCTGTCACAAAAATCCTTAGCTTCTTGAGATCCGTCTTCAGAGACCGGGTCAAGTGTGGGATGGGTGGCCCAGGTCTCGAGAAGTACAAAACATACATCAGCCAAGTGGAGCCACGTTCGCAGCTGGCGTGGCGTGCGTCGAAGTGAGTAGTACAAAACGGATTTCAGATACCATACCAAAACAGCCTCGAAACTGGGCCAAAAAGTGGTAAGGTGTGCATTGGTAAGTCACATCGAATTAGGGAGACCCACCCCCGGTGGGCGGGGCGTTCTCCAAAAAAGCAGTGCTTAACAAAAAATTGATAATTCGGTTGGGAGAAACCCTACAGGTTGGTATAGGGGAGCGATGTGTAAGGTGCTCCCAGCACGCATGACGTGATCGGAGGCCCGCCCACAGTGGGCGGAGCGTGTCCTGAAACTAGACAGCGTTTTCTACAAGTCCTCATAATTCGGTTCCAAGGAGTCTTAGAGAGCCGGAAAAAGGTAGGATAGGAGGTGGGAGGAGGAGTGGAGGCCAACTGTCAATGGTGGGCGGGGCATGACCAAAGTGGGCGGAGTTTGCGACGAAAATTCATAACTCGGTTCCAAGAAGTCCCGGAGGCCGGGAAAAAGGTGGATAGAGGTGGGTGGAGGAGTGGAGGCCAACTGTCATCGGTGGGCGGGGCATGCCCAAAGGGCGGAGTTTCACGAAAATTCATAACTCGGCTCCAAGAAGTCCTGGAGACCGGGAAAAAGTGGATTGAGTCCGTCAACGGAAGGCAGGTCAACTGCTATTGGTGGGTGGAGCGTGCGTTGAAGTAGGCGGAATTTGTCACGTGAATACAGGTATTTTCAAAGAGAGCCTAGTCTGGGAGAAGTGGTGAAAGAATGGGGCCAAATGCTATTGGTGGGGTCACAGAGGATTTACGGAGTTTCCCACGGTGGACTATAAAAATATCAATGGCCCTGTTTCATACCAATGCAGTCCCGTGTGATGCACGCGAATGCGTGCGCAGCTTAACTGGTAATACTATAACAAACGTTGATTACATTGTTCTGCATATTTTGCGTGCTCTTCCAGTTCGACAGCCCTCTAACAGCACGTCCTCGGTCTCTCAGCAGCATTCAAAAATCGATGTGGTATCAATGACGTCTATAACACATTGACGACCGCTTTGCCGGCCACGGATTGGCGAATACGTTTTAGTTTTGCTTACCATTCCCAAAATCGAGTTAAAAAGACTATTGATAGTACAAAGCTACCCTCACGGTATGACAAAAATTCTCGATGAAGCAAGCACATAAAAAATAATTTTGAAGCCGCCACAGAAAATACGAGTGATATTTGCTTTTTCTTTACCATATCACGTTTCCTTGTTCGAATTTCTTCTATTTATCTTTAGATAACCTTACGGTATTGACCGTTATTGAATTGTTTTGCATCAACCAAGTTCTGTGTATTTACTACTCAAACACAAACTGATGTGGGTGAGGCAATCGCGCCAGACCTACGCGACCAGAAAAGACAGAACGCGCAATTTCTTCAACGGCACAAGATAGAATCCGATCGTAATGTGGCTAACTCTGTGCAAGCATCATCCACACTTGGTAGAATAAATGGACATGAGTGCATGACCTTTCAGGTGGTTTTGTAGTTGCTGTTTTGCCCGGAATCATCGAGAAGGTAGTGTTCAGAAGGACAATCATTTGAGGAAGCTCGGACAAGTATGCCGCGAGCTGCGCATACAAAACCTTACCTGCACTTTACAAGGTATATAAGTACACCGTTAAACAGTATGGCCAGTGCACCCAGAGTAATATAAAAGCAGTGAACAGTGAGTGGGTCGTAACCATTTGCCGTCATTGTGCAGTTAGCTTTTGGTATTCAGTCGTAGTCGGCAACCTGAAGCAAAAAGAGCTTCGGCGGGTAACGCTCTTGCTTATCTCGATGCGCCACATACTCATATTTGATCAAAATAGGAGCATTTGATTCAAATCTGGTCAGCGATTTAAATTCGAGTATCACCCTATTTATCTTTTCACATGCAACAATGTATTAGAACTTATTTCGTAGAACAAGAATAGAGGAAATTCTACTGAATCAAATTAGAAAAATATATGGCACACACTAAGGGAAAGGGCCATATGAAACAGCGAAACGTCAGAAAGCTAGCAAAAATGTGCTGAGAATAGAACTTGAAGGACTTAACTGTATTCTATTGTAGGGACGCAACTAATAATGAAAATGAGTGTGAGACTACACTCTTGTAGGGTATTGAGAGTTGAAGAAATAACTATGCATCATTACCGTCTGGATTGGTTACGGGACATATTCAAATCCTTACCAGGAATGGATGATTGGGCGGTTCTTGGACGCTGATCTCGAATCTGCTTTCCAAATCTGCCAAACGATTTTCCGAATGGAGTTATGAAGGAAAGTAGTGCAGCGGTAGTAGTCCGGGTTCACGTGCGAGACGTCGTAGGATCGATTCCCTGGCGGGTTCTCTTTTTTGCCTTCGCTGCAAAATGATGAAAAGGCTCCCAGCTACCTTACTCGATCAATGCTTGCCTGTAGTTAACCCGTGCAAAGACTTTGCGAAGAGTTTCTAATCAGTTTCTGCGGTACTCACTTAAGACTGCACATGGAGCCACACAGAAACTCTTGGCAGACGTTTTTGCAGCAAACAAGTGTGATATTCGTGTTCCGGAGATTAAAAATACCCCTAGGGACAAGTTTGTAGCCAAGATTTGAGATTTCGACCAAATTTTGAAATAAGCTGGGTGGTAGTCTATCTATCATTCATCCATCAGCCTATTATCGAAGCCTACATAGCCTTGAAACGATATACGTTTTTTTTTTGGTTTCTGAAGAGTGTAAAGCAGTGTCTGGTTTTCTGTTAGCATGATTTCAACTCTCACATTTTATTATTTTCAAATTTAAAGGGTCGCCGTCGTCCAAAATAGGTCAACCCTGGAACTACCGGCTATGGATATGTAGCATCAATGAGTGACTCGCCCTTTTTTTGAGATTAATTCAAAATCTCGAATTTTTCTAGAAATCGGCCCCAGGAGTTATTGGACTGCTTGAACACAGATCTCACATTCGTTCACTCAAAAACGGCTGAAGCGCGCGCTCCGTATACTGGCGCCTTAACCTTATGTAGTGGGCAAAGAAAACGTAGAAGAA